CAGGAAGACGTTACTTGGATATAAGCTAACGGAATATCTTCAGAACGGCTCCAAATGATACAGAACTCATATGGGTGAGTAGAACATGATGTAATAACGTAAAATCAAGGGCCCAATGTAAAAAAAAAAACCTGAGTTCCCCTTTAAGACAATAAAAGACCTGGAATATTTCAGTTAGAGTGCAATGAATCTAAAATATATGAATGTTCAAGTTTTATCATTACATAATGGAAAATATTGAACTTTATCACAATATGCTAGTATTTTGAGAAGGACCTGTGATACTCCGAGCTCTGTGGGCGCTCCCCTGGAAGCTGCTGCTGTGGTGCATGCTGGGAAAGCTGTCAATAGCGGGAACAAACAAGTCTGCTCTGATGCATGCTGGGTAAAGAGGGAGGGGCGAGAACAACATCCGGGGACTTCGTCTGTTCTGGGTCTTCTTGTTCTTGTGAATTGGAACAGTACTAGGACTGAGGCTGATGACGTTTTTCCAGTTCATGAGCACATGAGAATGCACAAGTACGCATTCTCTGATGATGAAATGCACTGAAATTGAATTTCTGCAGCAGTTTTCATAACACTACTAACATCTGTAAGAACTACGCTCCCAAAGCCACCAGTTACTCCTGATTTCAGACTGAAAGTCTTCTTCTGAGGTTAGCTTACCCCTCGCATTGCTTGAAGAGTGAAAAGAGCTGACCTGGTCATATACTTGCACTGATTTCTATATCTGAAAGGCCTTATTTTTCAACACGAGAATGATAAAGTTTTAGGGATGCATTTTTAATGGTTTAGTCTTTAATTGGAGCCTCATTAGAACTTGGTGGATGGGTTATTTGACCAGTGTGGGTCAGATGGTCTTTGGATACTTCTATTTAAAAATTAAATCTATTTACTTTTCACTCAAATCAGAAAAGGAAAATGATTTCCACTGCTGCTAATATTATGTAAATTTGAATATTTTTTGATGTAACATTGTTTGTTAGACTGGTTTTAATATGTTGCATGATAAACAGCCCCCTTCATTTCCACAGGTGCAGGGTTTTACCCCCTCCTGAAGTTAGCATGTTCTTTCTGTAGATGATTGTTCTCTCTGGGTACTCCAGCTCCCTCCTACAGTCCAGAAACTATACTGTTAGGTTAAAAGGCTACTCGGCACCCTCTTTTTTTTTTTTTTTTTTATATCATTGGTTTGTGTGTTTGTCCCCTGTTTTGGCATCAGAATGAGGGCTGTTTTTATGGTTTTGCCATCATTGAGGGAGCCTTCTAGTCTCACTTTGTTTTTTTGTGTTTTTTTGCAGTTGGCTTTAGAAATAAGCAGGGACAAAAATGTGCTCAAATAAAAGCAGGATGTTTGTAATTAGGAAATTAAAGTGTGTGACTAGCTTGCTTTCTTTGCAAATTCTTAAGTCAAATTAGTACTAGCCAATTAGAAGCAGGGAAGCGCAGTTGATGGCTTCACCCTCCTAGGAAAAAATGGAACATTTGGCTAAAAGATTCTGCTAAATAGTTCCAATCGCAGGGGATTTAGAAGTGGGTTTATGCAATACCCATTAAAAAATAATAAGTGGGTATACACCATATACCTTGAACCACACCACTGCATATGAGCAGGTAGAAGTAACATTTTTTCCCCCAAAGTTTATTTATGCTTTAACATGTGGTACAATATAAAGACATACAACAAAATTATATAGATAACAAAGTACCTTTAACATATAAACATAATTGGGCTAGAACCAACCCCAATATACCCACATATATACTCCCATACAGAATACAAAAAAAATAAAATAAGTAAATGATAAAAAATAAATGGAATAAATAAATGGTAATAATAATAATAAAAAAAAAAACAAAAAAAAAACATTTCCTTCAGTGTCAGGGGACACCGCTGTTGATGTGTCAGACAAACAACTCAAATCAAGACAGAAGATAAAAGAGAGGAGAAAAAAAGATATTGATAACAATACCTAACAGCTACATAAATTTCACCTCATCAGTCTGGGATATTAGGTAAATCAATCTTTCTAAGGACCTTTAATAAGGGGCTCCACAAACCCAGAAATCTTGCAGAGGAGCCTCTGGGGTAGAAGTAACATTAAAGAAAAGGTGTTGAAAAGAAAATACAAATTATAGTGACGCTTAAACCATTTGATTGTGTCTGAATTTTAGGCTAGAAAGCACTTTTTTTCTGTAAAGGTACTCAGAGTACAGTGGGCCCTTTGCTGGTCCTTGGCTATTCCCCTACAAGTCCTTTTTAAACATCTAAAGTAATCTTTCTGTCATCTAAAGAGAGGCGTCATCTCCTGGTCTGACCCTGTAATTCCGTGAAAGGTTGGAGTCAGAGTAAAAAAATATGAACGCCCAGGAGAAGGCCAGTGGGTGGAAGTTGGAGGGGATTTTGCTGCCATTCGGCTGGCTTTTGACTGGGAAGCCATTTTGAATGGCTGCTATTGTAAGTACAGTAACCAAAGATTTAACTCGAGTAACAGTTTGACTTCATAAGATTCCTAAAGTAAAACGTATGGTGCAGTAGAACTACTCTTTAAAGTACATTTCATCAAAAAGTTAAATGTAACTAGTTACTACTCACCTCTGGGACTACGGTGTGACTTGTTTTTAGGTTTTGCGATTCACCATATTNCCCCTTAGTTTTGTACTTTTATCTGTCTTTAATTTAAATATCCTTTTATCTCAAACGGTCATGACTAACTTTGATTATTGATCCGGATTGTGATTGAAACTAACCCCAGAAATATGCTGGTGAATATTCTCAGTCATCCAGGTCATAGTCATTCCAAGAAAGTAAAAAAACAAACCACTGGACTTTGTTTCCAACTTTTGAAGACATTTTGTTTCCCATCCTAAAAGCTTTTTTATAAGAAAATAGGTGGTTTGAAAGGGGCATGAAGGAAGCCATCTATGTTAAGAAAGAAAAACCAACCTTAAACAGAGGGGGTGGACTCAGATTTCAGCTTTGAAAAACCTACAATGCAGCAATTGAGTTAATCCCTTCCCACTATCATCGCAACCCCAGCCCCTTTACAGGGGAACAGAAGACCCCTCCTATTCAGCCAGGCTAACAATTCCCTTTAACGACCCCCCTTTCAGAGACATAGACGGGTATGCGGCATTACAAGCTAACAAAAGAAGCCAAATGACCCCCATTCTGAAGGGATGGACCCATTCGTCTGTTTCAATTTGCATGTTATCGAAGCAAAAACAGGGCTTTGTTGGGCTACTGTATAAACCCTCAAACTCAACGCTATTTCTGACATTTTGAATTGAAAAAGCTTCATGGATGGGAAGCAAAACGTCTTCAAACTTCAAAACAAAGTCTAGTGTTTTTCTTTTTTTTTTTTTTTTTTCTTTTTTTGGAACAACCCCAGAGATAATTTTCTCTTCTCCTCCCTAAACATGCATACCGTAAACCTCTATTATACCCCTTTCCCACTTGGCAAAAAAAAAAAAAAAAAGCTTTTAATGGCAGTGGGACCAACTCACTGACACCTGTCAACCTGGGTCAAATGACTTGGCAAGTGACCTGCGTTAAAATCCCCTCTGCTCTGATCAGCATGCTGTGAGCACACCAGAGCTGGGCTGATCCACTCAATTACCTGACACCATTGAGCACAACATACAGACGTCAACACACCGTGCCAGATGTGTCTGATCTACCAAGCCAAGACAAAAAAACAATAAAGCACGCTGACTACAGTCTGACTACACACTGACTTGTTTCTCTCCATTGTTTACTTTCCTGATTTCTGTCGCATTGGTAACATCATCAACTCTAGCCCAGCATGTTGGTATCACTAGACACACAGCTGTCAGGTAGGGGTTGGACTCAGCTTTTTTTGCCTATGGGAAGGGAGTCAAATGCCGATTGTTAGCAGGTCNCAAGAAGTTAAATGTAACTAGTTACTACTCACCTCTGGGACTACGGTGTGACTTGTTTTTAGGTTTTGCGATTCACCATATTCACATAGCGCTGAATTAGTTTTTACTGGTATCTCATTAAAAGGACTTTGGTGCAACATGAGGACAATTATAATTATTTAATGCATTTTAAACCTTGATATGCTTTCATACAAGTAAATGACCCTCAGAGTGTATTTTGTTCCTGACATAATTTTTTTCTGTTTTTGTAAACCCAGATGCCAGCTGCAGATTTTGATCAGCCCCAACCCCTCGCTAGCCACGAAGTCTGCCCTGCTGCCGTGGAGCGGACAGATTTATGTCCAGTGTGACGGACAACAGAAGGTATGGCCACATGCTAGGTTAGGACTGAGGCAAAGTGGACTAATGGATGATTGTTTACTGAATGATGAAAGGATTTTTCGCTAAGGATGGATGATAGATCAATCTCAGCTTTTTTAATATTGGATTCACCTTATTTTCAGTTATGTCCATACTCTTCAGTGAAAGTAACCTGGCAGTAGCCAGATTGATGTGTAGAAAGTACAAAAACAAATGTATTTAAGGTCAGATTGCCATACACTTAAAAAACTCCAAAAAGTAAGTAATTAAATAGTTTTTTGTACATGACTAAAGGGATACAAGCCCGCTGAGGTGTTTTAAAGTGTATTTTTTCATGCCAAACTAAACGGATAAACTAAAAGCACAAACAGATATTGAGTACAGGTATGCTGATCTGACAGAACATCAGCTTTTAGTGATGGAACAAGTTGCTGTGTTAGGATCCCTGAAGTTATTTGACATTAACCGTTTCTAATAGTCGGTGTTAAAACTCTGTGTGAGGAGGTAGCTCTTTACATTATGGCTTTTGCTGTTTGTTTGTTTTTTTTTTCAGCTCATTAAGGTCCAGATTCGCCGGGACTTGGCTCTGGACGTGTCGGCAGTGCCAACTGATACCTCTTTGTCCGCCCTGCCGCCTCAGGCTGCTACTCCTGTGCTGCCTGTAGTGCGACCCGCCACCAAGCCGTCAGTGACCCCACAGGACCTTCCCAGCCTGGTGGAAATTAGCAACAAGACCGTCACCTTTCCAACCACTCCTTTAGGAGAAACATCAGGTGGAGAAGTTTCTATTAGCAACCTTGAATTGCTGAATGTAAAACTATATCGAGAGGCTGATGTTTTGTTTAACTGTTTACTCTTAGGGGTATAAATGATTGATTTTAGCTTTGGGAAAAGGAAATGAAGTTGTACATTTCTGATTGATCCTTCGTCAGTTGATTTGGATCTTCACAAAAAATCTGCTCCGGTTCAGAAGCTCTGTTGCTGTGAAGTAGTGATGGGTTCATGAGGCGTCATGAAGCATTTTGACACATTGGCAAACTGTGTCGATACTGTGTCACTGAATATTGACACCTGCTGGACATTTAAAAACACTACATATAGTCTCTGACAGACTAAAGTGACATTGATTTGATGACCTTTAGTATGAAATCAGATTTAAAACCATTGTTTGCTTTAATGTATTATTTCATATTTTCATTGAAATTGAAAATATGTTTGATTTAAGAGTATTTGGCACTAGGATTTATTTATTTAAGATAATAACTACAGGAAGAACAGCAAACTAAGAGCCATTTAGAATTCAGATAAGTTTATTGATAACTGAGAGGAACAGGACGACACAACAAGAACATTAAATCAAATATGAGATCAGAATGGTCCCTCTCAGCTAAAACCTTTCTTTTCCCTGAGGCTGATCAGTTTCCCTGATTAGTTTGATGATAAACCGCAAAAGATCAGAATTGTCAGATTCGTTGTTTAGACAGATGCACTTATAAACATTTTAGTGCATCAGGTAGTTGGAAACAGCTCCTGTATCAGTCACGAGACTTTCTTGACACTATA